TTAAAAAAACGCACACCGGAATATTGTTTTCTTTTAACTTTAAAACCAAAATTAAGCGAGTTATTTTCAGTCTGCTTAAACATGTTTTTACCACTGAAAATCACCGGTGCGACGCCCTCTTAAGGATGTCCCGAGAAATTGGCTAAAAAAGATAACGCTTTTATCCTTTTTTTTTTCCATAGCGATTATTACTATTCTTTGTAAATCACAGTCGAAGCACTAGGCGTGGAAAATAAAGTTTTTCTCTCTTTCCGACATGACCATAGTGTCCGTGACCGTGTCCACAGTGTCGCTGAACCCCACTTACTATGTTACCGCTGTACGCATATTAATTTTTTGTGAGTTTCATTATTTTACAATATATAACGGGTAACACGATTTAGTTTTTCTTTTTGTTTATTTTGTGTCAGCCTACGCGAAAAGTTGAATATTATTCGACCGAAAACCCATTTATTACTTGTTTACAATTGAAAATTAAATTCGAATACAATTTTCCATTACAGTTAATATAACTTAAGTTGAATTTTCTATATACGTCTCACGGTGCAATTCTGTTTTAACATTTGTATAGCAAAAATAAATGTCCTTATCCTAATAAAAATCATAACTGATTTTATTTTAAAATCGGTTAAAACCATTTTATTTGTACAACTATATGAGCAAAACATCATAGTTATAAAATATCATACTCGAAGGATTATTATGATTCTTCTTTATGAGAAAGTAAAATAACTAAATCATTTTTAACTGTTTCATAACCGTTCTTACTAATTTTGCCCAACGTTTAAGTATAATTACTAACTTCATAGCTTTAGTATACATATAAACCATACAGGAATTTTAAGTTAAACTGTTGAGATAGATCTTATAAACAATGATGATTAAGATAATATATAATATCACGTTTAAAATATTATATATTACAAGTTGAATTTCAATGCAACCACGATTTTTATGGTTCAACACAATAATAGCCATTAAAGTCAATCGAAAACATTTGTATAACATCTATATTTGTATAGGCTTGTACACATAGCTCATACTTACATAATATTATTTAATGGCATAAGATCCTGTATGAAATACACAATAATTTACAATATCGCCATTGATATCATATAAATCATTTTTAGGTACCCAAGTGTATCATCATTATCAAATGCAATGGCGGTGAAATATTACTATAATTTTTCAAAGCATAATGACATAGTGATTACATTTTATTTTCATTTTGTATTTGTACCATAACTAATACAGAATTCTGAGAATGAAACTCTAATAAAAACTTTTTATTTAATTGTGTTTTCAAATAATACGGGGAGGAGGCCGGGCCTAATGTTGACAGATTCAATTTAATGGTCGTCTGTCGTAATAACCGTTTCTCGAAATAAGCCGCTCCTCAAAACGAAGTAAAAGTTTTACATTTTTTAACAACATACAATTTAACGAGACACAAATCACCTGTGGTGTTATGTACACATTATATTAAAAATCTGTAATACAGTAAAATGTGTCAAACACAAAGTACGCACACGGTACAACCTTTAAAACGTTAGAAAAAACTTATTTAAAACTACACTCATATAATTGGCTAATTTACGTGCAATTTGCATATATATATTGACATATGCGGGTTTAATTGCCATAATAGACAATGCAGATGGCCATGGTTAACATATCGATAACATTGACGTCGTGTAGTCTATGTCACATGTATTTATCATCATCCAATCTTTAATTTAGCCAGATATGCCCTTTAGCGTTTGGTGTCAACGCAGGAAATTAATAATAGTATTCCCCTGTTCAATTATCTCTTTGAATATGCATGTTATATATATATATATATATATATATACGGTCATTCTGTTGGACGCTATAACCATTTTATATAAATATATATATTACATTTTGTTTGATCTACGAACATTGTATTATAAATCGTGCGATGACTTTAAAGTACAGCTATATTATGTTTGTCCTGGTAGACATTATGATGAGATTTTTAGAAATTGAATTTACATACAACAAAGACTAATAATATCTATTTACGATAGTCGACATATGTATAGATAATTTTAAAGCTGGCGTGTAATTTGCTATACTATATTATCACGAAGCTTTTGTGAGTTTAGTCAAGTGTATAGTTTTTATTCAATGTAAAAAATTTACATCCTACAATCTGCCAGCGTATTATTCTGATAATATTCCACGGCTAAGCGCCACAGGAAGTCTCATACTAAAATACAGCCCCGTGGGTGAGTATCTCAGACATATTCACAAGCTAACATACCGACATGTTTCTAAATTCGTAGAATAATGATTATGTTAAACTATATTACCATGATGGAGCAAATCATGTACATTGTTAGTGTAGTGTTAAACTATTTATGGGTTTCTCAACAGTGCTGAATCAAATATGCCCAAACATAAAATATTATCAAGTATGAAATATATTTTGAATACTGGATCATATTATGCAGTCGTATAAGGCCAACAAGTATTGTATTCCGCTTTGATCTTCAAAAGGCATCAGGAATTTTAACGAAATATGATGTGTAACACTTGTGATAACTTGTGTGTTATGTTTTGAGTGAAAAATCGATTTAGCTAGGTCGCTCAACATTGGGGCAATGTTACAGTTCGGTACGAAGCTCGGTTTTAAGTACTATACTTATTTTTAAACAAAATTACTGAATAAACGATTTACAAACGTAGAACAGAAAAATAATTTTGAAAAGAGACATAAAAGGGAATCGTGGACAGGATTTTACGATAGAATAATAACTTGGAATGGAAAAGTTTAAGAAAAGACAAATAGCTCGTCTCTTGACTCTTTTCCTATTATGATGGCAAAAATATGATATTATTTTCTTTACATAGATGTTTGTTCCCTAAATCTAACTTTCTCTAATACACTAATGTGTGAATGTGTATTTTCTTTACCTTTAAATAACTCATAAATTTTTAAGAGTAAATTAAAAAAAAAAAATCATCAACGTTCATATAGGTATTTTAAATTATTGACTTGAAAGTATTATTACACTTCAATAAAACACATAAGACCAGAGGGGAAAATCGTTTTATTAATGTTTTGCGTGGACTAAGTGTATTAAATTTAACGTATTAAATTTGTCTGCGTAATATTCAAGTTAAAGTTTAATAGTGAAAAATCTTCACAAAAGAACAGTGACTATTGTAGAACAGTATAAGACTGCCACCGCGTACCTTTCAGAACACATAAACAGTTTTTAACATGTATATATATATAAGACTTCAAAAACTGTAATCTCTTTGTCGGATTCCAGTGATACGACGCCTTTCTTTGAGAATAACATCTATTCATTTCATCTCGTTTTTAGTCCATCGCGAGAAATGATATTCAAGTAAATTGGTAAGGTCTATTTGTAACGAAAACGACAACGTGACTACATCTTTGTTTAACATATTATTATGATCGGTACCGTACTGGTGTATTTGGTATTGGAGCTTACGAACGGGTTGCTTGGGATTATCGAAACATAATTATAATGACAATAATGAGTATTCTTAATAATATACAGCTGTTAATAATAGTACTAACTGGCCCCCAAAACCCATGACTCATGCGATGCAGGTGTATCCTGATGATTCTCACGAGTGTGCTTTAAAGTGTCATCTCCATTACAGTATATTAACCTATTGGCGAATAATAATAATAACATGTGTTAATGAAATTTATCACCTCGAAATCGAGCGTTTACCCATTATTATTAATTCCCCCTCGTCTATACATAACTACAGTATTATCGCTCCTTTAGAGAAATTAAATTATACGATACACGTGTGGCACGCTTGTATAAATAATAATTACTATATTGTATAATAGCGGTCAAAAGCAATGAATAAATAAAATATGAGAATACGCAGTTACACTAATTAAAAAATTCATCATACATATAAATAACTAAAAAATAAAAACAGTCACACGTTTTATAATAGCATGGTATAAGTGATAAACGTTTCACTTTAGTTTAATAATTATTATTGCTACGACTAAGTTTATATTATTATAAACTAACGCTATTAAAGTTTTAAACTAATTTTTAATCGAATTGATATTAATTATGAATAACTCAGTAAAAGCGCTTGAATTCTAAAGTGGTAGTTATTTGATTAAATACATATTATGTTACTTTGCAATTATGACTATATAATCTGTTAGTGGTATTTATTTGGGTGATGTGTTACTTATGTCTGTTCTGTACATATATCAACAATTGCTATGAGCTACTTAACAAAAAAAAAAATCTATAAATTATGTAATCGGTACACCAATGTAGGTTAAACCGACAAAAGTTAAACCAACGATTATTAATGTTTAAGCTCACAATATATATAAATAACGTTTAGCACTACAGCGTCTTAAAAACTGTACGCCAGCTAACTCTGTAGTTTGTGGTAAAATGCATATTTTAAAATCGTGAAAATAAAATTCATTACTCAAAGTTTTAACATAAAAACCAACTGCGAGTCTCGTGATTTTCATTACTGGCACCAAGAAAACGGCTGCGAACACCAGCTTTAACTTCTTAATTAAAATTTCTGTCTCGCCAAAGGTTCTAAACAATAATAATTATTATTATAAAGACAACCGGCGGTGTTTAAGCGGTTAAGCGAGATCATGTACCGGCAAAGGCTCACTTTTATCGAATAATATCAATAGCTGCTCTAAAATTTGTTAATTTATGTCATCGTTTATTTGATTTTTTTGTTGAAAATATTGCAACGGCGGTGTTTTTAAAAGTTGTTTACGACGACACTCGGTTTACTTACCAGCGTTACGGCGGTTCTCGTTAAAAACTTTTAATGATAAAACCCGTCGCAGAAGTCATTAAGCGCTCGACCTCAATTAGTGAAGCATATGCGCTGTGCACCTTACCGCAGGGGCGGGGAGGGAAGGGGAGGTAGAAACTTTCAACTCGATGGTAATTTTATACCTTTTTTTTTCTTTTTCTTTGCAGATAAATTCAATCCACAACAGCAGAAGAAACAGGTTTCAGATTTTTTAGTCAGGCCGTTTTTCGACACGTCCGTGTCGTCCAACATCACCACACAGCTAGGCGGCCATGCGTACATGCCTTGCAGAGTCAAACAGCTTGGCAACAAATCGGTTTGTACATTAATTACAAGAGTAAATAATATTTTTAAAAAACCCTCGACCTTTCGGAAAATATCAACAGATAGGTGTGTATACGGCGGTATTTGATTCGACACGTCTCTTGATAGTTTAACATCTGTTTATTTTTTTTTCAATTATACCGTAACTAGTAGACCGTAAACATATTGCTATCATCTATATTTTTTGTTTGATTTTATGTTGCCGATAAATCAGACAAATTTTGTATTGTAACAGTAAATACGCCACTTGAATATTATTTAAAATGTTTTTTTTTTTTTTAATTATCTTATTTTGAAATTAGATACACAGATAAAATGTTATTAAATGTATAAATTGAATAACATAAAAACCAATAGAAGGAATTTTAAAAATACATTTATTTCATTGTTGTCAAGAAGTAACCTCAAAATTAACAGCGTACATGATAATATATTTCGTATGAAAAACTTCTTATTAATACTGCTTGTATAAAAGTTGTGTTTTCAGTGTAACTGATTGCATAGTTTGTAGTACTTTATTATTTGCTGTTGCTCGTTATCTGCTTTGTTCAATTTTATTATTTTTTAACCTTTAAAGCTAAGTTTCATCGTCTTTATAATTAATTTAAAAAAAAAAATTGTTTAAAAAAATGTTTATACCATGTTATTTTATTACGACAATTAAATTATTTACAGTGTATTGGTTATTTTACAACGCTTCGCAGTTTATAGTTTTAATTAAAATACTTTTGAGAGTTAAAGCTATTTTACAACTCATAAAACCTTCGACTATAATATAAACGTAAGACACGGCCTTTTAGTGTAAAATGGCTTTATATCTTTTTGATCTAATGACTTTTCCCTAATCCTTATGATTATTACTTTCTATAGATGTATTTAAAAAAAAATAAACTGTTGTATTACAACTCGATTGTAAACAATAATACATTTCAAATATAAATTATACTTAAATAGTGGGCTATAATAATGTGAATTTAAAAATAATAGTTATTTAACCAATGGCATTACACTTGAAGAGTGAAAGTGTCAAACGTTCCAAGTGCCAAAGTATAAAAATTGAACTTTATAATTTGATTTGTATTTTATTCATTACCGGAAACACTTTAACATATTTTTGAGTTTTAAGTATGATTGTTTTTTTTTTATAAATAACTATTCTTTACTTGCAAAATTTACAAAATTGTTTCCGGTAATGAATAAAATACAAATCAAATTATAAAGTACAATTTTTATACTTTGGCACTTGAAACGTTTGACACTTTCACTCTTCACTTAGTGTCTTAATACAATTCGATAGCAAATAGTTATAATATTTATAGTAGGTACCTACTGTAGAACTTTGATTTTTTAATGATTATATTTTCTATTCATTTTTTATAAACACCATATCAAATGACGAATAGTATATGTACTGTGGCCTTGGTCGTAGTGTGGTTTAGCATATTAATTCAATTTTTTTCGTTAAAAAAACAATTGTTAACCATCGCCGCCATTTTAGCGTTGGAAATATCTATTATAAAGGTTATAGTTTTTTTTACTCGCGTAAGAGACTCTTGTATGGCACATAAAGAGAAAATACGTTTACGAATGTTTTATTTCGTTGAATATTCACACTTGAATTGGCAATTCAAATGTAGAAAAGGTCCATTTGTGGTCGCATAGCTGCGATGAGATTTCTGCACACGCGTCGATGACCATGGCCGTTTTTTATGCGTTCCGAATCAGTATTTAACCGGATTTAAGGATTTTTCCCAAAGAACCACGTGGGCAGCGGACAGTTCAAATAATAAAAGCTTTCCCGATTGACCCGCCGCTACGCTGCGCTGGTCGGTGGGCATTTTTATGCATACATATTATGAGAACTTTACGGTTATCCGTCGACAATGAAAATCGGCCAGAGCCGGCCCGGGAAATTTTCTCAAATTTATGATCTAATCACGGCGGCGGCGGCCGTGGCAAATCGTAAAAACTATGCCGGCGGTGCATACGCAGTTCGGCCCATAAACACGATATTGCACTACAAGTCGCCACCGAGTGAGAACCGAGTGATTTAGGTAATATGGAGAAAAATAAGAGCGCAACAAAAACGAGCGAAAAGTTTTTGCCAGCCATCACATCATAAATACCGCTATAGCGTGCGGCCGCCCGGGCCATTGTTTGCCGCGGCGCGGTCCACGGCCGGGGCAAAAGTAGTTTTTACACGGTAGTTATTTAATCAACATCCACCGGCTCCGGGGTACTAAATAAAATTACAGAACCTCTCCCCGAATCGATGGTTCGAAATGGTCGGTGTGTGTGTGTGTGTGCGCCTTACCTTTTCCGCAGTCTTGTGTTTGGCCGGTCGCGGGGATGGACCGAACAGATAAACGTAAGAGGAGAAGGCGCCATAAAAACGAATCCGGGGGGACCGTTAAGTTTTTGAAACTGCGTAACGCGCCATTTAAACTTGTACATTATTGTCGCGAAAAGCGCACGGGTAAAAAACGACCAGCCTGTTTTTTTTTTTTCTACCTGTGTGTTCGGCCTTCGTCGGGAATCCATTAACTTCTAGTTACTTTCGCAGCACTAGACTTTCGGAAAATGTAGCAGTGGATTTCCCCCCCCCCCCAGTACACCCAACTTGTGTAATAGAATAATTCCGTTTACGCGTCCTACCGTTACACGCGGCTTAGCTGCATTTAATAAATTTATTGTTCTAATCGCACCGCGTTATGTCATTATATAATAGCCGTTGTCGCCTATATATATATATATATATATATATATATAGATATCATCAGGGTATTATCACTGAGCCGCCGCAAAAGTACCTAACATAGGCTGCACGATTATATGAGATAATTAAAACTAATAGCACTTCCGATATCGTCTCGGGTCGGGTTTTATAGTAAGCGTCATTCCGTTTATAAAATATATATTATTATTTATTACAATACAATGGATGGCACACCACCTACTTATTTAGGAGCATAGTATAGGCAATTAATTGTGAAATCCTAAAATCTATAGTGCGTTACTCATACAAAAAAATATACCATGAAGATTATATTTTATTGGTGGTTAGGTTTTATTGTCAGCCTTATAAGTCATCATCACCAAATGTTTTACCATAAAAACCATTTGGTGGTACTTCAAGTTTGTTTACATTGCAGAGTAGATCTACAGCGATAATATGATTAACGTAAAAGCCCATGTTAGTTTTACTGTATTCTGTTGTAAACCAATAATTGTGAAAACAATAATTAGGTAGTAAAACAAATAATGACGACTAAATAAAAAAAATTGCTTAATTGATTGAATTTGTGCACTTGTTTGATCCAATTACAGTAAGACATTTTACTTAGCACCTATTAAACGCTGTATTACTTATGTCTTTACTATTATTGTCGACTTCGTAGTAATTAAAATAGAAAATTACTGTTTTGCTTCAAAAATGAATTAGTGAGTCGTTCTCTTAAGTAAAATTTTTACTATACTGTAATTAGTAATTACAGTATTATAGAGTGTAGTTACTAATTACACTCATTGATTGTATCGGTATAACCAATCGACCATTAAACGTTTTTTTTGTCTCTCGTTTTTTTAGTAATAAAATTTCCCTTATTTGTTTTATTATTCTTTTTTTCAATCATTACACATTTAGCAATACTACAAATTGTTTTATACGAGTGATTTCATTTTGATTACTTTAACACTTCTGCAGATCAGCTTATTTGAAGATTTCATTTTCTTTCTTAAAAAAATATTTCATGACATCCAAAAAAAAATGCTTTATTAAATTCGCATCTAAATGATGATATGACAACAAAAATGATATGTCTGTTTACATTTCATTACCTAATTGTTAATATTATAGATTAGAGTTATGGGAATATTGCGACAAATGAGTTATTAATATTATAATATTATACTGGTACTTTTAATAAAATAATACAATTTGTAATAAAGTACAATCATTTCAATATTGACTGAGATTGTCCGTCAAATAAATACTAAATACCTACTAATCTGGTATTATATCGTTTTTAATATAAACTGTTTTTTTATTTATATATTTTTTTATTTAGTTGTTATTACATTTTTAAAAAAACAATGTATACAGTGAAATTATGTTAGCTTTTTCAATTAACTAAATTAAATTTCAATTATGGTTCTCAGAGAGCACTTTTTTCTTTACAAAATAAAAACGAATAATCTTATAAATATATTTTATGTTTAAAAAAAAAAAGTATACTGTTATTTCAAACCTAAAACTCTCAAACTTAATTAAAACACACTTTTGTTTTTTACATTACTATTTTCTTCTTATTTTTTTTTTTTTTTTATTCGCTGTTTTGAACTATGGAACGACGCCAATGTCTCTCGCCTAAACCAAGTTTTAATTAAACGTTTTGGTGGTTACTATACCGTACACCGCCTACTCCCTCGCCCGGCGACCATCTCTAACAACGCCAAATTTATTTCGATAAACCGGTGTTTTATTAATTAAAAATAAGTGACACACTTAATACTATAATATTGGTAGTACAAAATATTACGGTACAAAACATTGTCACTATTTTATTTGAAACCAATAACTATTTGTAGTATCTGTGGTGCTTTACAAATTTTTCGACTTATTATTATTCAGGTGTCGTGGATACGTAGACGAGATTCGCACATCCTCACCATCGATTGGCTGCTGTTTATCGCCGACGATAGGTTCAGAATATTTCTAGTGGAACCCACGTGCACGTGGACGCTTCAGATAAAGTACGTCCAGCCCAGAGACGCGGGTATCTACGAATGCCAAATAAACACATCGCCCAAAATGAGCCATCTGGTTCAGCTCAACGTTGTGGGTAAGTAACCGAACAAAAGTAAAACAAAAATTATAGAATTTTATCCGCATAAAAATGTCCAAGACTTTTTTTTCTCACTATCCTGGCTTCATCGAACAATATTACGGCTCGATGTAGTCTACTTAAAATGGCAAAAAATAAACAATTATTTAGTTATTATTAAATATTCTTAATCAAATACAAAAACCAGCGCCTAAAATAAATCCCACGATGGAGCCCCGGCATCGGTGGCAACCGAAAGGGAGTTAAGAGGATATTGGATGGGTCGGGGTTGCTAATACCCATGATTAGGGTGGTGCCAAAAAAATCGATCTTCGAAACGTTAATGGGCTAACATTTAAATTTGTTCCATACATAAAAAAAGAGACTTGGTGAAAGTTTGAGATAAAAAACATTTTTTTGCCGGTCGCTCAACGCGTTTTAAGTAAATTGACCAAAAATTCTCAAAAAACCAAAAAATGACTTAAATTATAACATATTTGGTCAAAAATCATCATTAGTACATCTAAATTTTTTGAATGACGATCCCAGTACTTGGTCTAAAAATAAAAATTATATGTCAGCATATAATAAAGTGCAATCATTATTTGTTGTGAATGATCCATTCGAAAGAGGAATTGCTTTAATGACACAATTTAACAATTCTTTAACGACAGATGAGAAACAAAAACAATATATTTTACAAGTAGTAGAAAAACATAGAAATGAGTTTCCCGATTGTAACAAATCAGTTTTAATAAACAATTACGTAATTAATTTTTAACTTAGGATTTTGAAACTCAAACAGTTGTACTCGACGCGAAAAATACTACAATTTAGATGTACTAATGGTGATTTTTGACCAAAAAGTCATTTTTTTGAGAATTTTCGGTCAATTAACTTAAAACGCGTTGAGCGACCGGTAAAAAATGTTCTCTTATCTAAAATTTTCACCAAGTCTCTTTTTTTATGCATAGAACAAATTTAAATGTTAGCCCATTAACGTTTCGAAGATCGATTTTTTCGCGGCACCCGAATACGGCTGTTTCTGTTGAAAGAGGGAGGGGTGGGTAAACCTCGTATGGTAGTTACATATCGTGTAAAGTGCAGTACGGACAGACATTGAAGGTGGTAGTAGTAAGGGGGAGATGATGGACCGATAATTGAAAATCAAAATAATTATCATAAAAAAACAATATCATCGTGTTAGGCTTTTGCACCCCGCGAAGGCCCGAGGCTGCCATCTCAAAGATTTGGATACTTGGACGGATTTTCTGTAGAAAATAATAATGTGACTGGACTTTCAACAGTGCCAAAAATCGAAATCATGGGCGAGTCAGACATACACGTGATGGAGGGTAGTTCGGTGAGCCTTAAGTGCGTGATCCGACAGAGCGTCCGAGATCCGGATTACATATTCTGGTACCAGAACGGCAAGAGAGTGCTTGATTACGGTGGCAAGGGCGTCAAAGTAATCAACAGCGAGCGGCTAGACGTTAGCACAATGGTGGCCACGCTCACAATCAATAACGCCGTGCTGCTGGACTCGGGCAACTACACGTGTCAGCCGTCCAACTTGGACTCGGCTAGTGCTTTCTTGCATGTCCTAAACGGTGAGTTCTTGTTCGTAGAATACTGTTTGTTATTTATTTTTTCGCATATAAATTAATGTCACGATGACACTAGTAGAGCGCCGCTATGTGTCCCGTGAGAGGTTTTCCTCGATTTCTCATTTTCAATAATAAACGATAATAACTGTGCCTGCGCGCTACAATACGGTGGTAATTTCCATAAAGTATCATTACAATATCGTTCTTTACTCAATGCTAGAAATTGAAATGAATAAAGTCATATCGATATGACTACTAGATTTTTACAAAATATATTTTAAGTGGTACACATAGTATATACATATGAATGTCAATACTCTCCATCGACCACTTTTAAACAATGATGTATTGAATTTTGCTAAAAAAATATAGTGAACAAATTTGATTTAATACATAGTTCTTGTTAGCCATCATTGCAATATTAGGTGGATATGCTTTAGATATGATTTAAACAATTTTTTTGACAATAACCCAGAGATGATAACGCAAAATATAAAACTAATATTTCAAATGTACCCGGAAAAGTAGTGAACAATTTTTAAAATATTTACCATATTTAAATTGTATCAATATAATTTTTTTATGATGTATGGGGCAGTTTTTTTTATATATTGAACTATAATTTAAAACAATGGAATCATAACCCTCGTATCGGTCTTGTCAAAAATAGTATAAGCACGTTGAGTTATTACAAATAAAATCATACAGAATAAAATTTTAAATAAAATGAAAAACATAATTATTTGTTTGTTTAAAGTAATATAATATTTTATACAATTTCATATTTGAAATTATACAAGAATTTTTCAGTTGACAATAAATACAAAGTTATGTGTCTACCTGCCTCTACGTTTAACTTATGCTGAAAAAATAACATTTTTAAAATAACTAATTATATGCTTAACTAAGCTAAAATATGATATCTTGTTGTACCTTTTAATAAACTAAAAAAAAACCACTGCGTGTTCAGTGGCTAACGATTTCCTATAATCGTTTTTTACTACAAAAATATTGCAACTGGATTATTTACATAAAATATGATGATAAACCCCAGTTATAAAGAAAATGGCCATATTATTTTGGAAATTGTATCGCTTATATAATATTAATTTAGAGCATAAGTCATAAAAATATCAGCAGTTTCCAACGTTACGAAAAGCTTTTAAAGTCGGTTCTTGGAGAAACATTGAAATGTTAGCCCATTAAAATATACTAGCATAAAACTTTTTACCATGCTTTTTGCTTTATTTATTGCTTTTTTAACTTTTAAAAGCGATACTTGTGTCACAAAAGACTAACTTTACTTTTAAAAAATTCGAATTAATACTGTTATCAGATTACACTATTAAAATCATTGGTGTTGGCAATTGCATTGGAAAATTTATTACAATTTTTTCTTTTTGTTTTATGTTGTTTGAATACAATAATAATAATAACGTTAGTATATTTAGTAAGCGTTAACAAAGCGAAATGGAAGTGGATTGTTAGCTTATACACGTCAGTCGCATAAAACGAGCACGCATAAATGTATTTGACATTCTACAATTTCCATTTTGTTCAAATACTTACTATGTACATTTTCAACGGCAATCGAGTATGTCAAACTCATGTACTTTCTATTTTACAGACTGATATTTATAATAGTTGGTTAAACGTCGTATAATTGATAAAGTTTGAATTATTTGCGGTGAACGTGAAAATCGAATATAATATACGAGTGGAGGTTTTAAAATGAGTGACTTTTTTAATTATAAATAAAAAAAAAAAAAAAAACCTTTACAAATATATAACGTACGCTATTCGAGCACACAGTCACTATACTCGGGTAGAAAAAAATAATATGTTCTTACACGCCGTGTTTAAAAGCTACACGACGTTTTCAACAATTAAATTAAAGTATATTGTTTGGTTTTTTTTTTTTTTACCGAAAGTGAACCCGTCCACGCGTATCGCAAAGACACCACTTGATGATTTACATTCTAACGGAGCCACGCTGTAATAGCCGGCGCGTTTCGATCGGATAATAACGTTGTTATGATGGCCGTGGTTAATTTACGGTAACTAGATCGGTTTCGTTCAGGACAGATTTGCGCCCATTTCGAAGACATGACTCGAGCATGACCGCAAAGACGTTCAACACTTATTGCCGCTGCGGGAATAATAGGTACTCACAACAACAATATTTACCCGAGACGTTTGTTAAAACGTTATTAACGTCGGCTATCGACCGTCTGCGACCCGGGCGATTTCAATTAAGTATTTCCGTCTTTAGCTCCCAGAGCTTTGGCCTGTGTACTAACCGAACCCGAGCAATCTAACGTCATACTGTGACGGCGTTGGCTATAGGCAATTTCGGTACACGGACGCGTTGGTTTTTTTATTCGACTGTTTTAAACGACCTTCGGGCAGTACGGCGCGTGTGCTGTAACCGTAACGGGAACGCCGGGCATCGTTATTAGGTATTATAGCAACGTTGATGATGATTTTGATAACAATAACCATAGTGATTATAGCAGTAGCGGTAATAATAATAGTAATAATGACGTAACAATTGTAAAAGGCATAACGACCGTCGTACAGCGACACGTTTTATTATAACCTCCTTAACCGTCGCCGCCAAGAGAGGGTATTTTTTTTTTTATATACATGCACACAACAACAATATAATATACTACTCGTACACGCGACGGTGGTGAATATCGAGAACGACGCCCCCTCGGGGGGGGGGGAGGGCTTAACCGGCACGCCAACTCGAGACGTCGCACGGGACTTGTCACTTTTGAAATTCCGAAGCCACTTTAATTAGGCCGATCTCCTTCGCCAGAAATCATCAGAGCTGTCACAATGCCGTGCACCGTACACGTTCGCGGGGTAGCAGGTGCCTTTGATCTCGGGCAATCAACTCATATTATACACACAGCAAAAGCAATCGTTTGTCGAGGCTTCTGCAAACACACCGTACGGTCATAAATAAATAACATCACATACTGTAAACGGTTTACAAACGAGCAGCACGTTACCATTAACGAACCGAGGGCCGCGCTTTTTTCGTTTTCGTTTACCGTGTAGCGTCCGGACCGAGTCGGCTACAGTAAAGTCTTAAGGGCACGTCGTACTGCTATTTGTTAACGAGTTAGGTATAGGCAATTTTTCTGGAAAATCTCAATTTGAAGCTTAAATTTGTAATTGTTAGATTAGTAATAGGAATTCTTTTTAGGCAGTTAATTTATTTTTCTGACTATCGCAGCGTCTTTGTCGTTGATTTTAAATATTTTTTTCATCTAAACATAGTTTTCTAATTACAAAAACACGGCTTATTGGGTGGTTTTACAGTAAAAAACCCAATTGTAAATGTTTTAAGGGAGAACTTTTTCTATGTTTTGTTGCAAACCGATTTTCGATAGTTAGTTTGGATATAGAACAATATGGTATAAAGAAAGAGCATATTTTTAATTATTCAAATGTATATATTATCTTAAAATTAAAATCTAATTCCAACAAAGCATAGTTAAAGTTCTCATCTTTCAAACAATTTATCATTAATATCCCTGCGTGCATTGTAGGCTTCATACCATTGGAAATACAAAAGTACTATTTCGAGGTGCTACCTACTGCTTTACCTACGCTATTGATAGTGTTATACGCCAACGCTTCAACAACAAGATATAACGGGTTTTTTTTTGTATCGTTTTTGTATTTCTCACACAATACCTATTACAACGACGTACCTATAATATTATAATATGTAGAAAATACAATTACTATTTTTAACGAGAAGTGTTCAAACACTTATAATGCGCATGTCAATTTAATGTAAGCCAAGCAATTTAAATTATTAAATTATTTCACAAACTCGACAAAAAATTTGTAAAAAACAAATTTCTCTATTGAATATGCGTGGGCTGTTAAATGGTAAAAACATTACCTATATTGCTGTTTATAAATCAACTAGATCCAGAACAAATAAATTAAGTTTAATTTTGATTCAACACAGCACAACAGTTACATAGTTCTCATTTGTTTAAATATTAGTAGTTAATAGTTTTTTGATATTTTGTTTTTTTTTCTATCGTTAACCAAGCCGAATTGTTGAATACTTATATCTGTAATAACTGTGAATAAGTGTGTAAATCGATTTCAGCGATATCAAACTAACCAGCTGCCATATATCAGCATATGTAAGAATCAGGAACTCACATCTCTCTCAAGATTTTCCTGTTGGTCCAACGACGAGTTAGACATTTCTTCAAGGTGTGCTGGGCGCTTCGGACTACATCCCAGCGTACTTAGTCATTGTTGTCCAAAATTCGACTTACACAATTATTATTCACAGTTGTTACAGATATAGCATTTATTTTAATAACTGATTCCGCAAAAATTATAATAAAACTCTATCAAATGGGCCCCTCCCTTTTAGTTTTATACACGATCGTCGGAATTACTCTGTAATCACTTTCCTGTGTAGTAAAAAAAAAAAAAGCCAGTACAGTGTAAATTTACCCTATTTTTGGGGTTTTTCCTTAATAAAAAAAAAAATTTGACTACAGATTTTTGAGAAAATTGTATACGTTATTAGTTCCATTTTAGATCTACCTTTGGTCTAATTTTCAGATCTAAATCTCTAAAACTTTGCTTGAAAAAGTGAAATGTTAATGTTTATCGATAGTACTATATTTTAAAAACAATTCGTATAAATTTGGAATATTTTCGACTATTTTTAAAAAAGTTATAGAGCATAGTAGTTTTAAGTTGAAATATTTGTAAATTTTTTAGGTGTTTTTCTCGATTTTGATGTGGAAGGGGTGGCTTTTTTTAATTTTTGGCCCCATAATGTACCTTTTAGGTATGATTTCTGATCTATAGAGTTGCTACACGAAGAAATCGGTTCAGCGGCTTACAAGGTATCGTGGGTCCAGACACAAAAAAAAAAAATAAATAAAAACACATCATTGTAAAAACAATACCTTCTCAGCTCCGCACCGAAGCTAAAATGTAACTTAAAAGGTCAAGATTCGCTCACTGACCACTCACAAGTGTCCGGTGCAAACATTAAGCCCTACGTTTTCTGGCCACGAGTATTCGATATGACAATATGAAAACTTTAACGATTTCTAGTGTTTTTTTTTATTTAATGTTTTAGCTTCGATGCGAAGCTGAGAAGGTTTTGTTTTTACAATGATGTGTTTTTATTTTATTTCTTAATCGATTTCTTCGTGTAACAACTCTATAGATCAGAAATCATATCTGGAAGGTACTTCGCCAGGCCAAAAATTTAAAAAAGTCACCCCTTGCCCATCGAAATCGAGAAAAACTCATAAAAAATTGACAAACTTTTCAACTTAAAATTACAATGCTCTATAACTTTTTTAAAAACAGTCAAAAATATTCCAAATGTTTATGAACTGTTCTTCAAACATAGTACTATCGATAAACATTAACAAACCAACAAAATATCATAAATCCTTTCCCTTAGAAGGGACAGCATTTTTTTCTTTATTTCACTTTTTTTTTTTACTCGTTTGAGCTGGCTCGACAAAACTTTGATTTTTTTTTTTTTTTATTTAATCGATAGTTATTTTAAACATCATGTTTTTTTTTTTTTTGTTTTTTTCAAAGGAGAACATCCGGCGGCCATACAGCGGGGTCATAGTTCGGGCACGCAAATTCCTATCCGGCTGTTGGGCCCTTTATCGACCGTGCTGGGTTTGAGTTCCAGCCACTCGGCGAGGGCAGCTCTTCTGACGACCGCGTTTGCCGTCGACCTGGTCATCCGCGTCCTCTACTCGTTTGTCGTCTAAGCCTACTTTGCACGTCACGCAAACAGTCAGCACAACCGGTTGTATACGGTTTTTTGTTTTAAAAACGATACAAGTCAAATGTTTTTTTTTTTTTTTTTTTTTTTAACATTATTCGTAAATTGCCAACCGCGTTTTGTTACCAAAACCAAATATACGTTTCCGTTACCATTAGACTACACAGCAAGTTCGGTTAGCGAGAATTATATACATCAATTTATATGTGTATACAATAATTGCAGCAGTGCACCTAAACGAGAAGAAGATTCGTGATCGGAGTAGAGTCGAACAACGGTCTAATGTATAAAATCATATATTATTATTGTGTAAATAAATAATTTCCCCGGAGTACCGCGCGTTGGGTCTATAGCTAATGCACAATTTGTTTAACGTACAGGTTTTTATACATATAATTACTATAATAATATACATACCGATATTATTAAATTGTATGTACGTACTAATAACAACCTACTGATAATTAGCTTTAAACTGAATACGGTCAACTTTTGTGTATCAACGGCTTTTTTAATATTCATTTACTGTCTCTTTCGGCGGATGACCCGCTGATTATTATTGCATCTAATATAAATGTAATGACATTTAACAGAAATAATGTTTCCTACAACTGAAAACATCAATGATAATTCTTATTCTCGCATACTCTATACAATTATCGCGGCGAGACGCCTAATTACAAGTAATTTTTTCTGTTAACTGTATCCAACAATAATCTTTCATAGGCTATCGTACTAACTTTACTTTGATTGTTATTGTTTTTCTTGTATTATATTACGCTATTAACTATTATTATCTTCGATTGGATTATAATGTACAGCACGTGTAAATTTATGTTTAAATGTTATTCTTAGATATAATACTAATAATAATAACTAAAATTTATAATTATTTATGGTGCGCTACGTATATGTAAATTAACGCTATGGAATAAAATATCTATGTTCGATCTTATGTATTTAAATTATGTTTATATTTTGAATTCGGAACGGTAATTCATTATTTTGAATCCAATATATCAATTAAATGTTATTATTTATTGTTCTGATAAATGCCATTACTCGACCGTTGTATTTTTTTATAATTATACCTATTGTCATCATCAAACATATTGTACATAATAACAATTACAGTTTAATTGAAACTATTTTCCAGAATTTATTCAATATTATAATATTGTATAATTACTCAACATAAATATATATATATATTATACGTTTTATTTGAAGGTATTGTTAAAATAAAAATCTAAGCAATTAAATGCATTTAAAAAAAAATTGTTTAAATTAAAACATAGTTTTCTTGGTTTAATCATTGGGTTTTGTTTTTGTTATACGAATTAGTTAAAAACATAAATTACTACATCAATATTGTATATACCTTTGAGGGAATATTATAATATGTACCGTTAACGATAAACTAACCTTTAATTTATTGAAATAAATGTTATAAAAAATATCAAACATACCTGAAACATTTTATTTATATGTTATATCCTGTAACGCATATTTTCCTTGACACATAACTTACTAAATAATATTTTGTTTAGGGTAAAAAAATAACAAATTTCGTATAAAATCGATTGCCAATTATTATAGTATCTTCTGCGGTTGTATAGTGTCAGATGTTAGAAACAATTTATTGTTCAGCGTTTCATTAAATATTGCTAATTTGTGTACTCATTAATGTATACAATCAAGCCATGGACTAGTTGTGACTTGTGGTTACCAAAGTTTTAGATTTCAATTTATTAACACTATACAAGTGGTTTAGCACAGCTGGTAAGTTTGATCATACTGCAAATTCCGCTGCAATGAAATATAATAATTATTTCGGTTTTGATGTTACTTACCATTACAGATGTATTTAAGTATGGCGTTCATTTTGAGTAAATATTATTTCTCTTTGTCGTTTTAAAAATAAATCCTCGAGACAATAACATATTATAGCTCCTTTTTTACTGCAGCAAATCCGTTTCGTTAGTCATTATTTATTACAAAAGTTTTCATTGAAATCCCTCAAAAATGAGCCAACGGGAATTTCGAATGGAGACCGGGTGCTACAATGTGTTATGCATTTATATATTATTTCGTCGTTGGCGCATTTTCTGAATCTACGAGGAGCAATTTAGCATAGTATACAGTATACATATATATAATTTAATATATTACACTGCAATAAAGGAAGACTTGTTATAAAGTTTTCAGTTGCTATGTGATTGTTGATTTTTTTTTTTTATTATTCACATATTTCAGTTTGAGCAAATTTGTTTTTTTTTTGTATTATCTGCCTTGAAATGCCCACCATCGATGAAAATGGAGTCATCAAACCGAAGTCAAACGTCGCTGATCAAGCACCCAGTACGGATATTGAATGCATTTTTTTTTTTTTACTAAATGTGATTTATGACAATTCAATACCAATAGTTTACAGCTGCTTACACTAATCCAACATTAGATATATTTTAAACAAATTGACTGAACAAGGAGGAGTTTTTATTATTAATTGACAGTTATGTAAAAAAAAAAACATCTTACGAGGGGTCTGTAGGTACTGGGAATAATAATAGGGTACCGATAATTATAGAAATATGTTATGAGATCAAGCACTCAAAAGAGACACTTTGTTTTTTTTAACACTACTAGAAATTTAAATAACCTAATTAGTTATTCTAACAAACCAATCATTTGGCATATTTAGTGGCTTATGATTTTGATATTTTTAATTTTGGTATATGCTTTTATAAATTCTAAGATATCAACATTATTACAATTTATTTGGAAACAAATATTAAAACAATTCTATAAAAGAAAACAAAATAAAAACATTCTTAACCTAAATAAAAATGAATAGCTCATAATTGTTATAATAAATATTTAATCTAGAAGCTACCGAACCGGTCAGGTTTATTAAATATCCAGAAGATTTCTATGAAACACCTCTGTTTGATTCAATCCAAGAAAAAAATGCAAGAAATGATTTAATCATGGAATTATATGGGTCAATGTTTGGTTACATTCTAAATCGGTAAGCCTAAAACCAAAAATAATGAACAACTTGCTGTTGTACGTCTCATCACTTAACAATGCTCTAGTTGGACGGGAAAACCCTGTCTTCGACCTCTAGTTGCTACTATGGACCTTTCTAAATACGTGCACCAATTTGAAGTATTTGAACCTAAAATTGAAACAACAAAAAAAAAGTCACAAAGCATAGCTAAGTTGACCAGCATGGCTGTTAAAAAATCTATCATTAGACCATCAAAATCAGCAGTTATGGGAGCTAAGAAGTAAGTTCATATAAAACACTACTACTATAATAAGAAAAGTTTGTTTAAATTAAATGTTGCATTTTAGTAAATGTCATTTTCTAAACGATAACATCGTGCAAAAATAATTATAAATCATAAAGTCAATAAGGTTTCATTAATAAAATTGGTAATAATAAATTGAAAATTATAAAAATTTTGTTAAAACAGAAACTATGTGTGAATTAACTAATTATAATTTGCTTAACTGTATATTTATAGAAAATCTATGATGAAAAAGCCATCTTCGGTAGAACAACCAGAGTTAACAAAAACTATTGTTAAAAAACCCGAAACAGTTTCATTATTTTTGGAACGAGATCAAAACGTTCAATTGGAATTCAAATCTGGTTGTTCGTATGAAGGTCGGCTTTCAAAGTCTGTAATACATGGCAAAGGGAAAATGCACATGAACAATGGGATCGTTTTTGAAGTAAATTAATTATCTTCTTTCCGGATTATATATATACATAATCCGATTTATGAGTGCCTAACATAAAAAAATACTATTATATATATTTTAAAATAAATATAGTAGCATAAAGGATTATACATCCTATTTAAACAAATTGAACTTTTTAGTAATCCGAATTAACTCGGAAGTTGCTGTTTTTTTTTTTTATAATCTGCACTATACTATCATAGTCCAGTGATGGAAATCTTATAGTTTATAATATTAACAATTAAATTATTAAAATGTATATTTTGTTAGATTTGTTACCTATGCTTATATTTCTTCTACAATTGACAAAACAAATGTGTAGGTAAATTACCCCATTCGTTGCAGAATCTCGAGCCTGTCTTTAATTAGAACACCAAAATATACTTTACTTCTTGAAAAACTTAATGTTTACTATGTTATTTTCCTTTTATCACAAGTGTAAATAATTGTAGTTTTATTCCACTCGAGCTATAGCGATTAAAATTCCCATCAATAGCATATTATGATAGTCTGTAACATACATGGCCAAAACCGGTTTTTTTTTTTTTTTAAATTAAAAATGATCAATAGTTATTCGGTAATCCCGTTGAATTAATTATAAAATATCTTGAGAAGGCTTGAAGATTTATAGCAGCCCCTCTGCCCTCACTCCAGAAACGCTACCGCACGGGATATAATGGTCTTATTTCGTAATATAATATATTTTGTGGATTATTCCTTAATCGAATACGGTTGGGTATTTTTTTTTTTTTTTTTGGTACTCGGTTTGATTGTGTAGGGCTCATTTTACAACGGTTCGCCTCGAGGTAGCGGTAAGATAACTTGGCCAAACGGTAGCTGGTTCGAAGGTGATTTCCTGAACGGCATGAGACATGGCCGGGGGTTGCACGTGTCCACCCGGGAAGGTCGCAGGACGTACGGGGGCGAATGGGTGGACGGCAAAAGGCAAGGGTTCGGGTGGATGGAGAGAGGTGACGACGGCGACGCCACCGGAATTAATTACATCGGAAGCTGGTTAAACGACCGGATGAACGGTTGGGGCTCGGCACAATGGCCAGACGGCACCCAATACGGCGGGCAATGGATTAATGACAAGCCTTGTGGTCACGGCACTGCTGTGTGGCCGAACAAAGATGTGAGTTAAAAAAATATATAAATATATTATATTAAAAATATAAGAATCGCGATGACCAGTTGTTTGGAAATACATAATACGTTTGAAAGTGATAAAAAATATCAACCAAGTCCATATCAGTCTATATCAACCAAACCTAACCTAACTACTGAAAGGTCAGTCTGGTATTTGAAACATGGCATTTGTTACTATTTTAAACAACCGGTTTATCGTAGGCGTTGGCGTTCAATAGCGTTCTACGCGTAAAATAAATATATTCTTAACCATCGGCACCTACTGCGAATATTTTTTTCTGCAAACGTTTACTTAATTGCAAAGTGTGTACAGAACATATTGCAAATAACCATGAGACGTGAAGTGTTTGACAATGACGTCTCGTTAGTAAAAAAAAAAAAAAAAAATTGAAGAAAATATTGAACTGCTCAATGAATTTGCATATCAATACCTTTACAATATGCGCACTGCGAATATCCGCCTAGTAAAACATGTAACAGCTTTAAGCACGGTGGCCTATGTACGTGCAAAGATTTTTGAAAATCATTTATCCACTCATAGTTAATAAAAATATATCAACGACATATTTCGGCGTTCGAAACATGAGTACTCTCAGCCATAATATCATTATGTGTACAAAAACGCACAAAAAGGTATGAAATAATAATAACAACAACTACCTAATGAAAAATATTGAAGTTTATTTACAATTTCAAAGTTGTAAATGGACTTTCTTTATAATGTTTTCTTTGCGAACGAGCCAAAACTTTAGGCCCGTGTTAAATTTCAAGTTTTACCATAGCACGAACGATAATGTTACTTTAGAAAGTTTTTACGGTTTTTATTATTACTTTCAATAAATTATATTAAGCTAATATTAATATTTCCCGTGCCCTGATACATCATTATTATGGTTCGGTTATTGCGCGCAATCTAATATAATTTTATACTGGCGCTAAATAACTAGCCGAATGTATTTTATGTACCTATTGATCAAAGTATGCTGTGTAAGGGGGCAACCCGGGATTAAAGGCAGCAAAAAAAAAATATATATATATACATTTATTTTGTTATCGACCGCCACAGGTTTACGAAGGAGATTGGTTGGACGGGTACATGGAAGGTACAGGAAGGTACGAATGGAACACGGTCTCGGTCGATAACAGACTTGCATTGAGCTTATG